AGAAAGTTTATTTATAATGAGCGCGTCAGATGAGCGAGATAATAAGCTGCGTATATTACGTTATTAATAATACTTATACTTGTAATGGTATATCTTTATATCGGATTTCTTACTGTATTGAGTTCCTTGTTAAAATTTTAGTATTATTCGAGCGGCCGTCTCTTGTAATACCAAGCTTTCAACTTTTCTTATAGTTGTTTTGATATTTTCATTATTCATCTATTGCGTCAAAAAACATTTCTGCGTTCTCATCATTCTGTGTTATTATTGTTGTCTCCTGTTTATTTATTATTCTGTTGTATGTGTTCCATCTTTTCTTTTTCGTTTTGTGGAATATGCCGCAACATTTTCTTTCGGGCATATTGCCTAGTCTTTTCTTTATTCGTTCTGATCTTTTTGGTTGGCTAATGTCTCCGTGACTTTCTTTCCTTCTTCTCGGCGGTTTGTTAATTTGAGTTCCTGGTCCCCATAATGGCAGTATTGCCACCTTCGAAGGGTCAACTCCTTCTTCTTCCTTTTCTTCTTTTTCGGGTTCTCCTATTTCTTCTTCTTCCTCCGTGGAATAATCAATTGTTTTATTATCGTAATATTTCTTTAATCTATTGACGTGCACTACCTGTCTATTTTTCCCTTTTTTGTACCTACTGCATACGGCACTGGTCCGACTTTTTCTATAATTTGAAATGGTCCTATCCATTTTTTCTGTAACTTCTTTGAAAGACCTGTCGTGCTACTTAAGTCTCTCAGATATACCTTATATCCTTCGTCAAATTCTCTAGTTTCTGTGTTTTTATTGTATCTTTCTATCCTTGATTCTTTGACTTTTTCTATATTCTTCTGCGCTTTTGTTTATACTATTTTCATTTTTGCTTCTAGTTCCGCTGCATAATTTTCGTCTAAATCGTATCTCTTCCTGTGGGGTTGTGTTATGAGATCTACGGGTAATATTTGTTCTGTTCCGTGTAACATATAATATGGTGTGTATCCTGTAGAAGAATGTATACTTCCTCGATATGCAATTAATACGTACGGTATCCATTGATCCCAATCTCTCTGGTTATCCGCGATATAATGCGAAAGCATGTCCTTTATAACTATGTGCAATCTTTCAATCTGTCCATTCGTTGTCGGTGCATAGCTAGCTGTGTATAACCTTTTAATTTTCAATATGTCGCAGACTTCATTCATAACTTGTGACATAAAATTGCTTCCTCTGTCGGCCAGTAATTTGTGGGGGGTTCCATGTCTGCATACTATTTGCTCTACAAATGCTTTTGCGATCGTTGCAGCTTTTGATCTGGTAAAGGTATAGCTTCACAATATTTAGTTAGGTGGTCCTGAAATGTAAGTAAATAACGGTTTCCATTATGTTTTACCGTTAAGGGCTCAACTATGTCCATTGACGTAATTTCCCGTGGTTTAGTGACCGCTGTAAATTTTTGTAATGGCGCTTTTCTGAAATGTGGGGAAGTTTTCCTTCTGTTGCAGGAGTCGCATTGTTAACAATAATTTGTAACGTCCGCTCTGAGGGTGGGCCAATAAAATCTACCGGCTATTGACTTCCTTGTCTATGTAATAATTTTCTGAACATTTTTCTTCTCTCATCTCTATTTGTTGTATAATACTTTTGCCAAAGGTGTCTCGTTGTTGTTTATTCCTCAAATTATCTTTATCCCAGACTGGTTCCCATTGTTCTTCTTCCTTAAATGATAGAATTTTCTTTTCTTTCTTCGGCTTTACTACTTCTACTCTTATGTTTGTATTGTAAAAAATAAATTTTGCCATTTTGCTTATTTCTTCGCAATCTAATCCGTTAAGTTGCTTTTCTGAATATATTATCGTGATCTGATTTTCCTTGTTCTGTTCGCATTCATTTTTCAAGTTCCTTAGGCATTCCCAAACGTTCTGGTATGATGACTCGCATTCAGGTTTTGCCTTTTCTATGATATAGTAGAGATTCTTTTCTGGTAGGTTCAATTGTATTATGTTGCCTATTTCATGATCTTTCGATATTACTGGTTTTCCAAATACTTGTGTGAGTTGATCTGTTACAGGGTCCACTATGAGTCCTTCTCGTGGTATGAATATTGCTAATGGTTAATCGTCCGGTGTTGTTATAGAGTTCTCTTCTTTAATTGTGCTATTTTGGCTTCCTGGTAAGGTATAAATTTTGCAGTTTGCTGGAACCACTATGTTATTGTAGACTGCGGCTTCATATGACAGTTTTCAAGTATCTTCTCTTGATAGGCCATAAAACATTTTAGAACATTTAATTATATATTCGCACAAGTCGTTCTCCTGTTCGATAGTAAAAATTTGTTTTACTTTGTAATTAGGACATAAACGGACGTTCTCATCTTGTTGATATTTTTTAACATATCTGTGGACTGTTTGGAAAGATACTCCTTTTATTCGTGCTGCTTGCCGTATAGAAGTGCCACCTTGTACTAATTCAACAGCCTGTCTCATCAGATCTTCAGAGAATCTTCCTATTTTCCGATCTGTTTTATTTTTTCTTGGCATCTTCGTTCTATAAGAGAAATTATTTTGCAAATGACCTGGCTTATACAACTATAACGAAACAGTGAGACAGTTAAGGTCGATTCAGACACATCAGTCCCGTCATAGTCTCGGCGCCGAACCGATCCTGTTTGGTCACAGAACTATCAACTATCTGACAGCTGGGAAACTGTTTGTCAACTGATGAGTGTGAATGCCGGCAACATTTTGTATTAAAGAATATTTTGTATGACGGATTGTTCGGTTCGGAGCAATCACTGTGACGAGACGTGACTGATGTGTCTGAATCGACCTTAAAGGAACAGTGAGACGCGTCTCACTGTTCCATTTGCTGTGTTGTCTCACTGTTCCTTAAAAAATCGTTAATAAAAATATATGAAAAAAACTAATAAAATATGTACAAAAATCGTTTGTTTTAATTTAATTGTTTCGTAAAATGGTTTACTTTGTAGTTAGAATAACCTACCTTGTCTAAGAAACTTCAATTTTCGTGAAAACAGCGGCCACGTGGATACGGTATATTTACTACGATACACTCACTTCAAATGACCAGCGATAACTAAAACATTTCTTGTTGAATCTCAACGGTTTCTTGTTTGCTTCACTTTAAGGTGGTAATGTTCTCGGACGCGACTAGTTCACGTCCGAGACGCTTCGCCTCGCCCCTTATTTTTCTCGTTGGCCCCTCCCTGGCCTGGAAATCCCTAAGAGCTACTTCAGAAAGTATAAAAATGGGCGATTTTCAGGTCAATAAGTCAGTCCTTCACGGGCTCTCCGAGAGCTTAGTGCTCTCGGGGCTCTGCTTCCTTTTTAGCTTTTCATACTCTGTGGCTGAGTATTTTATTTCAACAATATTTGGTGTTTTATTTCGACTACTATTTAGTCATGTAAGAAATATCTTGCCTTTATCAAGGCAAGTCACCGAAGCTGAGAACCTGATGCCTATTTCGACAACTTATGTCATGTAAAAAATAGCTCGTCTTTTTCAAGACGAGCTCATCAGAAGAAAATATTCACAAGTCTATATCCAGTAAATAGACTTGGGTAGAGGTGCCTTCGTAGACGTTCTCGAAGCCCTCTACAGAGCACCCAGAGGCAGATGATTGACGATAGACCAAATTATCACGTCCCCTGCGGTGACATGGTGCCCAACAACGTGGATTATTCCACCCCCACGACCCAGCTCGTCGCACTGCAGAAGGCAGCATACTATTGACTTCAACTTCAACATGGGTTGAATTCAAGAGCAGAATGGGGAGAACCACGGAGTGTTAGAAAGCTATACACTCCGACATCGAGGCCTTCTGCAAACCGGATGCCTTCGACGTGCAGGCACCTTTGACGAGCCAGACTTCTTCGAAGTCAGAAGCCCCTGGTTCCAATGGAAGTCCAGAAGTAGACCCAGTCATCGCCCCCCTACCGAAAGTGGTTGGACGACCACGTAGGCTTCGGCACCCTGGTGCTCTGCGAAACCCCTGGATATGGCAGATGGGATCCGGATGACCGAGAATAAGACGAACCCGTCGAAGGAGTTGGCTCAGCGATCGAGGATGGACGAGGAGCCGGAGATGCCGCCAACACCACCGACCTCCCTATTAGTGCTGTGCAGTGAGTTAAAGACAATTTTTAATTTTTTTTTACATTTTCATGTATTTCTCATACTTTCCATTTTTATGTATTCTTGTGTTAATTCACATGTATTTTATTGTAATTTAATATTTTTGAATTTTCAATAAATTTTTTCAGTCAGTGGAGCTACTGGGGCGCTCCACTGACTGGTTGATTCCCTTATGACTTTAGCTTTTAGTAGTCTGTCTATTTCTTTTTTGAGTGCTCCTCTTTGTTGATATGGCATTCTGTACGGAGTCTTGAAAACTGGTTTTGTGCCTGGTTCCAAGGTAATGCTGTGCTTGACTTTTGATGTGCTTGTAATAATCTCGTTGTCGTCCGTAAAAATGTGGTGATATTTCCTTATTACCCTTATCAATTCTTGTCTTGTTTCCCTGGATAGGTGGTCCATTTCGAATTCATCTTCGATCCATTTATTGTTTGAGACATCAAATTTGGAGACTGTTTCTGCTTTCTTTTGTTGTTGTTCTACAATACATTCTGTTGCTATTCCAATCTTTTCTCCTTTTCTCACAGTTATGCTTTGGAATGATGCATTTATTAATCTTATGGGAATTATTTCCTTATTGTCCACTCTTGCATTAGCCATTCGTATGAAGGTTGGCCCTTTTTTTGTGATTCGCATACTATTGTCGTACAATCTATTTGTTTCCTGATTTTTCCCATTGTGACAACTTCGGATCGGGACGGTATGGCTAGCTCTTCGTTCAGTACTATTGGAGACTCTTTGTTTTTTGAGAGGTAGGCTTGTTGGTTCTCTTCATTCTTTGCATTTGTATCGTTGGTTTGTGATTCGATCTTCATGACCCTTTCTGATTCGTTGTTTTTGTCGACTGATATCTCTTTCAAGTCTAATTAGTTTTCTTCGGCTTTGCTATCTTTTCGCTTGTGTCTTTTTTTGATCTCTTTCCTTGTTTAGGTTCCTTCTCTTCTTCCTTTGACTGATCATTTTCCTGTTGTGTATCTTCATTGATGTGGTGTACTATTTCTTCCTGATTGCGCTGTGTTACTTCGCCTTTGTTTAGAGGGTTTTCCACTGTGTCTAGCCGTTTTCTCCTATCGTCCGTATCTTGTTTTATGTCTCTCGTTCTTCCTTGCTTCGTTCTTTTTTTTGTCGGGGTAAAGATTCTCGTTTTTTCTGTCCTTTTCGTTTTGTTCCTGCTATTCGATGTTTTTGTGTATGTTGTATGCTGTTTAGGTGATACTCTTAGCGATTGGGATTTCTTTTGTGTCTCACTTTGCTTAGTTGTTTTGTTCTTCCTTGATGTATCTTGTCTGTTTGCATTAGGTAAGTTTTTCCTGTCTTCTTTTATATCGTTTATATGTTGCTTGTCCAGAAATTCTTTTACTATTGATAACCATTTGTTCCATTCTTGTCTTGTGGTTTTGTGGCTGTTGTCGTATGGTTTTACCGTCATTACTTCCATTATTTCTCCTGCTGTTATCATTGGGATAGATTGTCCCCATAATATTAGTGAAGGTTCGTCTTTATATGAGATGATTGCTTTATGGTTTGCTAAAAAGTCTCTACCTAACAACATTAATACTTCGCCTAGCGTTATGTCACTACAGACTATGAATCTGGCTTTTGTTTTCCTGATTGTGGGTGTTGTCTGTATATCCACATATGTTGTTCAATATATATCTATCTCATGTCCTGTTATCCCTCGTAGCGATAGTGATTCCGTGATTTCTGGGTTTATATCTTCATCTTGTATTAGTGATTTCCTTATCAAAGAAAGCGCCGCCCGTGTCTATCATGGCGGAAAGTTTTCTTCCATTAATTGTAAGTGTTATTACATAGGGTTGTTTTGTTTCTGTGTCGTCCTCGATGTGATCTATTTTGTGTGTGCCCCTCGTAATTTTTCCATTTAGGTCACTTGTTGAGGGCTTTTTAGTGGCCATGGTTAGTTTAAATTTTGGTTGCGGTTCCTGTTATGTTGGCTTTCTCGTGTTTCATGTTTCCTTCTATCCTCGTGCCTGTTTCTGTTGCTGTTCCGTCTGTTTGTATCCCTTCCTTGCTGATTGTCTCGTTGCTTGCTTGTGTAATTATTCCTTTCATATTTTTGCGTGTATGTTTTTGTCTCTTGCCTGTTTCTTGCCTGCGTGTCGTTAGGTTGGCCTGTCCCTCTGTTGAGTAAGCAATCTCTTGCCCAGTGTCTTTCTTTTCCACATTCGAAGCATTCTGTTCCCGTTTTCTTTTTTCACATTTGTAACATTTGACTTCCTGCGCTGCTGGTGATGATTGTTCCCTTTTCTTCGTTCTGCATTCTCTTATGGGATGCCCTGTTCTGTTACAGTAGTGGCATCTTTGTTCTTTTCTTATGGCTGATACCCTGGCTGCGTTCGCTCTTCCTTGAATCATCAATAAATTCATCTCCTGTAATGCTAAAGTCCTGTAAGCTCCTGTAAATTGGTTAAGTACTAGTTCTTTGTTTTTTTTTTTAATACCTGGCTGCACTTCGATTGTTGCTCCTTCTAAATCTTCTTCTAAAACTCTGGCTGCTAGTATTCGTAGTCTTGTGGTAAAATCCCGATACGCTTCGTGTCTTTGGAAGCAGTTTGCAAGCATCATCGTCCTCTCTCCTGGCAATTTCTTTGGTGCGAATTTTTGGATTAGTTTCGCTTTTAACTCTCCGTAATTCAGGTTGTCTAACGTTGGGTCTGATTTGAAAAATTGGTACGCCGGTCCTGTTAGTTTGAATTTTAATATTTGTAAGGTATCCTCTTCTTTCCATTTGTCTAATTGTGCGTGCTGTTCTAGTTTCTCGAAGTATCTAATGGGGTCCTTTGTATTGAAATCGACAAGGGTAGCCGCGACAACTCCTAGGGGTTGCGGTGGCCATGATATCGTTACTGGGGTAATAGGTGTTGCTTGGGGCATTTTTTTTATATGTTAATTTCCGTATGATCTGCTAATTTATGACGTTAACAAAAATTGTATAAAGAATTAAATTGTTGTTAAAATAAAAGAACTTAGAAATATACGCTGCCGAAGTTAAAAAAACAAATCTGTAGAAAATATCAATTAATCAAATCAAATAATAATCAATCAATCAATAGTCAAATATCAAATAAGGTGTTAGTATTAATTTTTTTTTTGAAAAATTAAGCTCTATTAATAATAAATAAATAAGTACTAAATATTAAAATTTAGTATATTCAAATGGTCAAAGAAAGTCATATCCAATTTCTCAGTGTATATTACTTGAAGAGTTCGTTAACCAAGCGCGTTTATATAAATATAATTATTTTTCAAACATATATCGAGCAAACAAATCATATTTCACTTTCACTTTTTCATTAAAAATAGAATTTGATATGTAAACAGTTAGTAAAATAATACTCAAGAAATTTATATTCTGCGCTTTTTTTTTAAAGCAATAAAATCGTATTCTCTGAAGTTGTAAACTTGACCCAATTACTTAAATTCTTTATGTTCAACTAGTTAGTAAACAATATAATGATTATTTCTTTAAATAATAATATTCAATTCCTATATTTGACTAATAATTAATAATTTCTGTTATACTATATATATCATATAATCTGTTAGACTGTATAGTTTATATATTATTTAGTATCGTATAATATGGTATTTTACTAAATTAAAAAACAAATCTGTAAAGAATATCAAATAAGGTATTAGTATTTATTTTTTTGAAAAATTATGTAATTGTCATCCCTTAACTTGATTATAAAAGCGATTCACTCACCTTAATTGAGCATCTAGGATTCTAGGTTTTAGGAAGTAATTTATGTAAGGTTATTTTCTAGTGATACAAGAAAAAAAATCTACTTTGTACGAACAAATTTGTGTAATAGCACTAACACGTTGTGCTGTAGCACAAGGTTATTTTTTGTACTGAATGAACCTGTTGAAAACTATCTAGACTGATTTAGTTGCTTATACCCTATTTTTTTCAAAATCTCTCGAGGGTTTATATGTCTTGGGACGTAACACGTCGATGTTAAGAAGAAAAATTTTCTGAAAAGAAAGTCCTGCACACCACAAAATATTTACTGGATACCTCACTGTTTCTTTACTCTGTTGTTGTATTAGGAAAGAGAAGAAGAAAAAATTGGAATATCTCTGGCGAAATAAAATTTTAACCATGAAGGAGTCTTATAACTATAGAACTTGCAAAAGTTTACAAAGATACTGAAGAAGTGACTTATCCGTCCATATTTTCCGAAAAATTCCCCAAACCGGGGCCGCTGTTACCACTGTAATGTCCTGGGGCACTCCGCTGTCACCAAATGTACAACTCTATGGAGGTTTATACCCTATTGTAAAATCTGAAACTAGAGGGTGAGAAAATCTTCACCACTGTACAACGCTGTCACCACTGTAACATCCTCGATATGAACCCTAAGGATGCTTATCCCTGCGAGCGGCTGCAAGGAATACTGGTCCCACTAGTCTGGAGGGCTGGCTCGCCTTCGTGGATTTACAAGAAGGTAAGGAACTTCGGAATAGGGGTTAAGGACTTCTAGGTCTCAGGTCCTGTAAAGAGTTTGAGTCTATGGGCTTACTTTAGAAGCCGGATAAATGTATAAGCCGAAATTTGGTACTCTTCTGGTCTCTGTCTGAATCGGTCGGAAGGAACATAAAAACCAAATTTAGAGTCTACAAATGTATTGAATATACTATGTAGTTTACAATTAAGTTAACAAGCTGTCAGATATAATTAATAATTTTCTTTCAGTACCCGACACTTATACGGAACTATACCCCGTCGAAATATAACAATCGCGCGTAATCCGCACCTGGTGTCGCCTCTTGCCTTGACAGCCTCGCCCAGAGATACTGACTAACTGACTGACTGGGCCTCCTCCGTTCTTTTTGTTTTTTATTGAGCTCGTAATCTCAAATGCCGATTGTAGTACCAAGGTCGAGTTTTTTTTGCTGAGTCCTCATAATTTAAACCAGGTCGACGCTGTTAATATTTTCCAGCGTCGGTCTATGTTTATTAAAAAGTGACTAATTTGTTTTTTGAACAATGGTTGCAACTGATACTGGCTCGTGTCATGCAACTAACTGGGTCAAATTGCTTTTCTTTGTATAGATTAACATGTATACGTTACTGTATCGAAGTTGAAATCTATAATAATTATTTTGAATAATGGTTAACCTCTCTAGGCTACTTAGCCCTTATTTTTTCTATTCTTTATTGTCTTGCTATGTTTACATTACACTATCCATGAGAACAATGGCATTGCCTTTATCACTAGTAAGAACGAGAAGATTAGGGTGGGTTTTTAAAAACGATACCGTCTCCCTGTAAATCTTGTCTAACTCAGATATGGGTTGTCTAGTGCGATTAGTGAAATTCAACAGAATATTGTTGGAAGAAGACCTAAGAGATAGAAGGTCGGAATTGCCAGCATGTGACAAAATATTTTCCACATCTGCTAAGATTCTACTAACAGAGTAATCTCTGAAGGTTGGCTGCAAGCCAAATTTAGGACCCAAGGATAACAACTTGAGAATGTTCTGAGGAACCTCAGTATTGGATAAGTCTTTAATCCACTTAGGATTAAATGGAATTTTTTTAAATTGGGGAGTATCTAAATTATTTAGTTTCTATCGAAGGTGTGCCATGGATTTATGATATATAAAATTAAATTTCGTATGTAAAAATGACTCAAAAGTGTCCAACAAATTGTCAGGAAGGTGATCATCAAGGAAAGCAGTGACATTATTGATTTGAGAAATAATAAGCAAAACAAATCGGTTTGTTCTTTGTTCATCTCAACCGATCACTGGGGGGGGGGTTGATGGGTTGCTCAACCACCTTTTCGTTTCATTTTTTGGTTTATACAGACAGGTTGTCGACCAAATTTGTCATATTTTTAAATAAACCGCTCTATTGTATACGAGTTGGTAGTAGTACGCCTTGTTGATATGTCACGCGTTGACCTCAAGGCCTCTGTCTTTTCACGTTGGTGGCGTTACAACACCTGTTGCCTCCATTTCACCGGCAGCAGACTAGAAGCTTGTAGTGGTAACTTCATTATACTTTTAAATTACTAAAATTCAATTAATCACTTTAATAATGCTACCTAAAGTCAAAATTAAACCTTAACTATTGATATACTGTTGGAAGTGTATCTTAGATCTTTTAGTTCTTCTGCACATTAATGTGCTTTTTTATATTTTTTACATAAATTTTTATATACATGTACAATTACCACATGTTCTTTTGCTGTGCATAAGAAAAATTGTTAACTATACTTAGTTCAATTCCGCCACTCTTCGAGTGATCCTTAATTTATATTTATGTATATATTTATATATATATATATATATATATATATATATATATATATAATATATATATATATATATATATATATATATATATATATATAAATATTTATATATATATATAAATATTTATATATATATATATATATATATATATAAATATATATATATATATATATATATATATATATTTAATATATATATATATATACATATATATATATATATATATATATATATATATATATATATATATATATATATATATATATATATATATATTATACCGTTTTTAAATAAAACGAGCGGTTCGAATTTATATACATATATTTATGTATAATGTAATGTAAACATAGCAAGAAAGTAAAAAATTAAAATAAAGGTTTGTAGCATAGGGGAAAATAATAATCATTTTAATGATTATTATATATTCCAACTCAAATAAGGGATAATTAATACAGTAAAGTATACATTTTAAATTACACAAAGAAATTGACCTAGTTAGTGCATTGTTTGATAATTGTTTAAACGTAGAAAAAGCACGTCAAACAGAAACTATTGTTGTAAAAATAACACCGCTCGTGACCCAAATAAAGCATAGGACTTACAACTCAGCGAAAACACGACCTTGGCACTATAACCGGCATCGAAAATACGAGCTCAATAAAAACAAGAAGAACAGAGGAGTCGGGCAGTCGGTGTCTTCGGGCAGGGTTGTTAATACGAGAGTCGGCACCAGGTGCGGATTACGCGCGATTGTTATATTTCGATGGGGTATAGTTTCGTATAAGTGTCGGGTACTGAAAGAAATCCGATTTCCAGAGGAACTGAAGGGCGTATCGTTAGCTACAGCCTAAATACGCGAAAGGTAACAAAATTCTGTATACTAACCCGAGTAAACTATAGTATTACAGATTGTCACCCCTTTACTTTCTTGATAAGATCTCTTCTCGTCTCCCTTCGCGCCGAACGAGTTATTATTAATTATATCTGACAGCTTGTTAACTTAATTGTAAACCACATAGTATATTCAGTACATTTGTAGACTCTAAAATTGGTTTTTATGTTCCTTCCGACCGATTCAAACAGAGACCAGAAGAGTACCAAATGTCGGCTTATACATTTATCCGGCTTCTAGAGTAAGCCCATAGACTCAAACTCTTTACAGGACCTGAGATCTAGAAGTCCTTAACTCCTATTCCGAAGTTCCTTACCTTCTCGTAAATCCACGAAGGCGAGCTAGCCCTCCAGACTAGAGGGACCAGTATTCCGTGCAGCCGCTCGCAGGTATAAGCATCCTT